ACCTAAAATATAAATTTCTACGAATTTTAATGGTATTAATCGTGTCATTATGTCGATCAGATAAAGGCTCTGATAATTTAAAACTGCAAAAAAGTTTAAAAATTATATATTTTTTTTAATAAAATAAAAATAATTAACTCGAAATGGTTCAAGAATTAAGAAGAATTATTGTAAAAAAATGCTGTGATGGATGCTAACTTTCAATTATTGTAATCATAGTTTTTTATACTGCAAAATATGTGTACAGTACATAACACTTCGTAGTGAAGTCAAATATATGACAATTATAAGTTTAAAGAAATTATAGATATTATTATATAATTTTTCTATAAAAAATTTGCAAATATATGGTTTGAAACACCGTCATAAATCAGATTTCGTGTAGTTGAATCTANTTGTTTCATACAAGAATTCAAACTAATTTTTAAAAAATCTTTTATGCTTATAATAAAGAAAGAATCAGATCCCTCTACAAAAAAATTTTTAAATCAACTTTGATAATTTATGCTGCTATTTATACAGTTAAATTTTTTATGATTTAATCTCTACGTCAATCCTTGCTTAGATTTAAAGGTTTATGAAAGCTTTTATTCACTCTGATTCTTTGTACTGAGATTCAGAAAATATTCGGTTCTTTCCACTAAAATTATATAGTTTTAACAGAGAATTTCGTTTAAATTTTTCATAAATCTGATCAATTAATTATTGTTGAGCACGGTTGCGATTGCTGTAGGCTTTCATGCTTATCATGCTCTATCAATTCTTTTTATTAAACCGCAATTACAGTATTTGAATAATTATAGCAAAGCATAGATCAATCATAATACTCTCGAATAACGGTTTATAACGGTTTTTCTATCCTAAAGATTGCCCTGAAATTTATTTATATTATTTTAATTTAATATATTCTACCGAAGATTTCAAGCAGCCAATACTATTTTTATATGGAAAGAATTCGAGGTTCAAACTACATCTACTTATTATCAATGATATAATTATTTTTTATATCCTTTATAAAAGGAAAGAATGACAAAATAGGACAGAAAAATCATTTATTTTCCATTTACGCTAGACAAGAAAATATTTGTCTACAGAGTTTATTGATCTGTTAGTAAATTAGGTTTAAATAATACTTGCTATTGGAATTCGTAGAATCGATTGTTTAATCGATTTTTTTATCTCGAATCTACTTAACACGAATATTATAAAACTAAGTACGAAACTCAATTAAGATGAAGATAAGATTAATCAGAATTACGAAAGGAACAATTAAATCGTCTTGTTACGAATAACACTTCATATAACATTGAGTTTTTTAACCTTCAACCTTTAAATAACGACCACCTCCGAATAACGGACATTTTTTCGGGAACTTTTTTACACAAAAACTCATACAAAATAGCCTTCAACATAGAAGTTATAGTATAAGGATATTAAAAGTAGGGATTGTATAGTGTAAGGGTATTAAAAGTAGGGATGTGGTATATTATAAGGGTATCAAAAGGATATAATTCTTAGTTTAATATGGTTAGAAATATGTTAATTCGCTCTAATTAAGGCTGCGTTATCATCTTCTTTATTTCTTTATTTATTTATTTTTGTGTTTTCATAACAGTGATGTCGCTTTCTCTATCCCATTCGTGGTTTAACGGTCAGCGACCTTCACCTTCTCTTCAGTAAATCTAGGTCTTGCGTGACGCATGACGATCTCCGTTGTTTTTCTCCTTTACTTCTTCTTACCAGCATCGTCAGACCGAAACCCCGATTTAACCAATCACGTGATTTGACGTTATAACCGTTTACTATTTTCCCCTCTTATTGTAATTACCATTTTTGGCAATTAATTTCTCTTCGTTAAGCATATCGTTCTACTTAAGCTATTAACTTATATTTTTCTTATATAATTTTAATTTTTAAATTAATTTTTAACTTAAAATTGCCTTAAAAACAATTAAATTACTCTTTGATCATGATTTTAATGTTATAAAATTATGTTAAATTGATAGATTTAATTTTAAAGTTTTCCAGTATAATTCTAATTTTATTTCTATTAATTTTAAATTAAATCAGATAATATTTTAATAAATTATCTGCTAATTTTCTCATTTATATATATTAAAAAATAT